ATCTTATATCCAGCGCATTCCAACATGTAATTTGCAGTGCTTATAGAGGCCCCGGCTTGTTCTTGGTGTTGTTCCATGATACCTCAACTGTTTCCTCTCTGCCCCAAAGGCAGCTGGCTCCATTCCAGGGGCTTCTGGATTATCTGTGTACCTGTATGCAAAATATGAACCAGCCAACGTGTAACAGATGGGCTGATGCATGCGATGTCAGACAAGTCCAGTTTAGAATTTAAAAAAACATAACAAATGATCCTAATACAAAGGAAACCTCAAACAAAGTGCTATGAAGCAGATCAAACACCTTTCTTTCATCATGCGAGGGATTAAGTCAAAACACACAGCGATACGATTTAAAATAAATAGTGGGATCTGTATCAACTGGGGCATCTGAATGTTGCTGTCGCTGATGAGGCTGAGGATACCAGATCAAAATATTTTAAAGTCTCCACATTTCAACAACACCCAGAAGACAGAAAGAAAAATGTAAAATGATTGCCACATCTCAGATTCCAAATAATAATAATCTTTGCATTTTATATTGAGTTCTATTACATTGTCGAACTGTCTCGAAGCACTCCTCAAGATTCACTGTAGTGAAGTGACCTTATATTTGTTGACCAACACGGTAGACAATTTGCACACAGTAACGCAAACAGCCATGAATTGAATAAGCAGTTTTATCTGTAGGATTATTGGCAAGCACCCTGGTATATTAAATTTGCAAAGATGTTTTTGCAATTCAAGAAGATACTCCTTATGACTCATTTTTGGGTAACAACTGTGCAATGGTTGAGAGCTACTGTTCCAGAATGCTGTGTTTTCCTCCACCACTGCTATCCCTGCCGACCCTTTTCATTTGTGTTTGTCATTGTGATCTTTACTATATTATCCCCAAATGACGCACATATTTCCGTCTACATTCTTTTGTTTGTTGCTGAGTGTGGGGCAGATTGGAAAGCTGCAACAATTTGGTCTGATAATACAGGTTTGTGTGCAGGACTATCTCCCCATCTCTTTCAGCGATGACAGGTAAATAAATCTCAAAGGAAATCTTGTTACCAACCCTGTATCTGTTGCTCAGCCAACTGTGCAATGGGAAATCGAATCCTGAAGCAAATGTAAACCCATCAAGACCTATCTCTGACCTCCAATTAAAAATAGAGCCTAAGCATGTTCCGTCCATTTTTAATCTTAGGCCAACCCTTGATGTGGCTAATAAATAGCAGCGGCCTCATCTTCAGTAATATCTCAGAAGACAAACCCTAATATCAGGTTATTTCATCTCTGTCACCAACTGTATTAACTTACTCATGTTTATTGTACATGTATTTCAGAGAGATATGTGGAAAGGACAGTATATTGTACCTGTATATCATTGTAGACTGCAGTTGACTGAGGAGATTTGTTGCCAAGCATTATAATGTTACATTTGCCTGAGCAGTTCTTGAATAGTTGAATCATTAGTTCATTGGTTAATATAAAACTAAAGTCATCTAATACTTACATCATCCCTTTCTTGATTATGTATAAAATAGTACAAGGTAGAACAAGGTGGAGTCCTGTAGCTCAGTAGTTAGAGCACTCGCCTCGCAAGCGAGAAGACCTGGGTTGCATTTCCTCGGCAGGGTGAAACATTGGGTAAGTTTCCTTACTCCGCAATTGGCTGCCATGTTTGCATACAAAATATACAGTCAATTTACTTTATAGTATATTCTGTGAAGTGCTTTGAGACATCTCAAAGAGGTGATAAAGCACTGTATCAAATGCAAGGATTATTATTATTATATCAATTGCAAGGATTATTATTAACCAGTGTCAGATAATGCCATAAACCATGAGAGAAAAGCCTGAATGTTATGTCAGTGTCATCTGAAACCTAAGTGTCGATATCCTTATAGATCACTCCAGGATATGTTAATATGTACTGTATATTTTTTTCATGCTCAGTATTAGTGGGTCATCAGACAATTTACAAACAGCAAGGTCTGACAATCAGTCATTAAACAAAAGATCAATTTATCTGGAGGATTGTTGTCCACTTACACTAGGAAAAACTTCTTCCCTTTTCAAATAGTGTCATGAGAATTTGCCACCTACCTGAACAGGCAGGTAGGACTGCGATTTAATGTCGCATCTGAAGTACAATATCTCGAATAATGCATCGCTCCCCCAGTACTGCACTGGAATATCAATTTAGAGTATGAGCTCCTGACATGGTATATACAAACACTACAATATTCAAGAAACCTTAGCATAATGAAATCAGACGCCATTTTATATTATTTAAAATGTGTTTGCAGTACACAAGAGAAGAGTGTAATGGGGAAAGCTGCATATATAGATCTTTGTGTTTTGCTCACCTTAGGTTTCCCAATGCCTCTCGTGTTAAAAAACAACAAAATTTTAACTAAATGACTAATGGTTCGACGAACCAGTAGAAGTCTAAACAACTTTTTCAGTCATGTAAAGTGAAATGAATGTCAGTGGGTAATCTTCCTGTGAGCAAAAGTGCCGAATATAAATAGATATGTGAACTGACCCTCCAGTAGCATGGTTTAAGAGCTTTCACACTGCTGTTAGCAGTTGTGCCTCTAAGCAAAAGAACAACTGCAAGACCATCTGGATAAGAGTACATTCGCATTCCAAACCCATGAGCATAAACCGAATAAATAGAGTGTGCGTCGTTTTAATGTTTTACAAGTCAGATGAGTAGCAGCTCCATCTCAGGATGATGATGATTACGCTTTGTGCGCTAACAACGGTGACCTTCGGGCATCGCACACATCGTGTTTGTAGATTATTCAGTAACGCTCTTGCAAAGCAGTGCGCTACACTGAAGGCTTTCCTCAGAGATTCTGGTGCCCTGTTAAAAGCAACAGACTGCCTTAGAGCACGTTTTATAAGCCTACAATTCCCACCAGGTGAGATCTTGGTTCTGTCTGGTAGGAAACAGTTTAATAACTAATCTTTAAAGCACGAACAAGAACAAATCTTGCAGTTTTGATAGAAACCTGAAGTCAGTTTTCTGCCTCCCATCCCTCCATAACCTGAATCTTTTGTAGGCCAAGTGTCTCGTGGATACAACTTGATTAACTAGAAGCAATGGAAAAACATGAATAATCCCTCAAAAAAAATCAGTGAATCCTCGACTGCTTGTGGGGCACTGCTGTGCGCAAAATACACTGTCAACAACAACAACAACTTGGATTTATATAACACCCTCCATGCCGGATGGCATCTCAGAGTGCTTTACAATCCACTTTACAATATACTGTACATTGTGTGAAGCACTTTGATGTGATCAGGCGCTATATCTAATGCAAAGATTATTATTATTATAAATGGTTAAGAAAACCAAAAGCGGTGAAATTAACAGAGTTTCTCAACACATTCTATGTGTTGATTATGATATAGAACGCATTATGAATAAAAGCTCACTTTCCCCCAAAATAAAGCTGAAATGAATTGAAGAAAGAGACAATTTCTCCTGAATGTATACCACAATGCCTTATTTGTTAGTCAATTAGCAGATCACTTTTCCGGGGGCAATAATTCCTTTAAAATAAATAAAAATAATTTCGCTCAATCCACAACTGTTTGTGGGACGCTGCTGCGCGCAATTGGCTGCCGCGTTTCGCCCACAAAATGCCCAGTCAATTCACTTTACAGTATATTCTGTGAAGCGCTTTGAGACGTCTCGAAGATGTGATAAGGTGCTACATCAAATGCAAGGATTATTATTATCGTCAATGCCTTATCACATTGTCAAAATGTCTGGTGGTGCCACTGACAATGGCTTTCTTATTTACTGTCTCCTGTCTCCCACAACATTCCCCAAGTGAAAGGACAAGCAACCCAGCTGCTCCCACGCCTGTAGCACTGGTCTGGCAGCTGACAGTTAGCATGTACACACAAGGGAGTAGCTTTGAGGATAATTCATTTTATTTTATGTTCATCAGTTTCCAAGGTAGTAATAATAATAATAATAATTCTTACATTTGATGTAATACCTCTCACATCGGGAAATACAGGATATACTATAAAGTGCAGTGACTGTGCATTTTGTGGGCAAACGCTACTTGCATCTAATTTGCTCATCACATTCCTTTCCCTGTCCTCCCATCACACACCTGTAACAGGTTGTGCTCAGTAAATATTTATATACTGCACTGATGTCTTCAGGAAATTACTGAAGAGGGTTTCTCCTGCTGTCCTGGCCAACAATCCTCCAGATAGAATCGATCTGTCACTTCATGGCTGTTTATGGGATATTATCGTACGCAAATTAAATTGGCTGCTGCGTTCATCGGCAAATATGCAGTCACTACATTTTATAGTAAATCCTGTGAAGTGCTTTGAGACATGTTGACAAGGTGGTAAGGCGCACTGTGTCAAATGCAAGGATTCTGATATATTATTATTACTAGAGAGGGGAGGGGGAGCTTAAAATTCAATAGCCAAAAAAAATCTTACCAGTCAGTCAACAGTTGGAGCAATTATGCTCCTGATCGTTTAACCAGAGCAAACATTACCAGTATATAACTGTAAAAGTCCTAGTTCAACAATGATGACACACTGACTTAGACATAATACTGTAATAATAATCCTTCTTGATACAGTGTCTTATTGTGTCAATATGTCTCAAAGCAGTTCACAGTCCTTTCTCTGTCAAGTGTAGTGACTGTGTGTAGGTAGGCAAACCTTATGCTAAAATGACGCCGAAAGTGGATATTTGTGTGGTTACATAACAATAATAATTCTTGCATTTGATATAGCGCCTTACCATGTCTTCGAGAGTCTCAAAGTGGTTCACAGAATGTACTGTAAAGTGAATTGATTGTATATTTTGTTGTGTCCAATGGCGATGCCAATCGAATATTCTGGAAAAGCCTAGTGGATTGAGCAGGAAGGGAAGACAGGCCAGCTGTAGTGACATGTCAGTGTGACTCCTGCAGCTGACACAAGCTGCTGAAACTCTCCAGCCCCATAAATACACTTGCTGCTCAAGCTGGGCTTAATATAGATCTCACGCAGATAGCAGCAGAATTACTGCTCCCTCCCATATTGCAACATATTTTTGGGGAGTGGAGGGGAGTTGAGGTAGGAGTAGGGGTGGGGGTGAAGACAGAGGAAAGTAACAGGTCTGAGGGCTCCTGCTTGAGCTGAAAGCCACTCTCCAAGACACTCTCCCTTCCTGTAGCTGAAGATGTCTGAATACAGCAATGACTCTGGGCAAGAAGAAGCAGAAGGGTCCATGGTGGTAGGGGATCTGGAAGAGGATGAGATCCTTGCCACACTGTCCGCCGAGGAGCTGAAACAACTGCAGAGCGAGATGGACGATCTGGAGCCAGACCTGCAGGTGCCCATCGGGCATAGACAGAGAGACCAGACGGCCAGACCTCCCACCGGCTCCTTCAACCACAGGTCACTGATTGACTACATACACTGGGAGAAGGAGACGAGTCGCATCTTGGATGAAGAAAGGGTCCCTGTTAACGTTGCCCAGCAGCCAGTGGTGAGTGTTTCAACCAATTACTGTGTTTCTCAATTGAACCAATGTCCTCAGGTAAATTCCATCAGCTGGAACTCTGGTTAGGGGGTCACTTATCTCTCTAGCTCAGTGCTCACCTCTCTCCTTCGCTCCCTCTCTCCCCTTCTCACACCAACACAGACTGCAAAGTAATAATGAAGCGTTTCTATATACAGCTCTCCATTGGGTGCCCTGGGGGATTAATGTAAATGAGTCATCCTGCCTGCGGTTCTTGATAATTGTCATCGATTTCAACAATAGTCCCAGTGCAGTCAGACGTTGATTGGGAGGTTTATTTATTTATTTGCCCATTTTATGGTGCAGTTGGCTGTCCTTTGCTAAGTCACTTCCTGAAGAAATTAAGCATTGGATTTAGGAACTGACTGGGGTCAAAAGGTTCTGGGTTCAGTCATTTGAGATGGATTAAATGACTATCATGTCTAACAAGAATCCTCCTTGGGGAATGTCTCAGCAGTAATAGAGGGCATTGTTAATGAGTGACAATTATCAGAGTTGTTTGATTCATCAATGAGAATTGGTGGTGTGGACACTTCCTGAACCCCACCAACCAAAACACAAATAGATAGTAGATCCTTTGTTGGACACCTATAATAATAATAATAAAAATAATCCTTGCATTTCATATAGAGCCTTAACACGTCTTCGAAATGTCTCAAAGCACTTCACAGAATACACTGTAAAGTGAATTGACTGTATATTTTGTGGGTAGTGTTGTGTGGTTACCAAAGCCACCTATTCAGAGCCTGTGTAATAGAAGCTCCTGGTGAACAATTGTTTGGCAAATTCTTAAATAACAACAACAACTTCAACAATAACTTGCAATTATATATCGCCCCTCATGCAGGGTAGCATCTCAGGGTGCTTAAACACAGTCTTGCTTTGAAGCCGTTTTCTGTAGCTCTTAAAAGAAACTTACAGACAACCAGCTTCAAAATTATGGCTGTATTTAAGAATTTGCCAAATTCTGTGTGTTCTGAAATGCTGCGTAAATCTAGACTCAGGTGAAATTGTACCCTATTGTGTCACAGCTTTACTAGTATCAGGAAACTAATAATAATAATAATCCTTCCATGTGATATGGTGCCTTAACTACATGTTAATGTAAAACAAAAGATTAAAGAACTCTCTTCTCAACAGCAAAATATAACTGAGGCTTTGGAGGAGCTGCAAGCTGAAGAAAAAAACAGCTGTGAGCAAAACACAAATGTCCGAGGTGATAGCGATAAACTCAAAGAAACTGTTCAATGTCTGAATGAAAACAGCCAATGGATTCAGCAAGGTCTTGATGACGTGGTTGATTGTAGGGAGATAGAATGCAAACCAGAGAAGGAGAAGGAAATGCTGGGGCTTCTTAAGACTCAGCAAAGTGGAGACCAGAGAGTGACTGAACCTGTGTTAAACGCTGAAGAAAATATCAGAGATGCACATGAAATATCAGAGAGCAGCAATTCAGATCATTCTCCACTGCAGCAGCCGATTATGGAGCAGAAGAATGAAGATACCATGACTGTGTGTAATAAGCCAGAGCCAAGCTCCTCCACTGAAGATCAGAGCAATGTGAATGGCAGCAAAGAAGAGAATAAAGAAGATCCCACACACGTGAATGAAAGTCAAGAGAATGCAGAGAAGAAAATAGCCAAAATAAAGACACCAAAGAAGCTTGGATTGGATAGTAATTTTCTGAAACTGACAGCTAGGCCCTCAGGAAACCCAACACTTTTAGACGAATCTTTGAATAATATTCGCAAGAACAAAGCGGACCTTAAAGAAATCAACTTGAACAATATAGAAAATGTCCCCAAAGACATGTTACTGGAGTTTGTGGAAGCTTTGAAGAAGAACAAACACATCACCACTTTTAGCATAGCCAACACGGGGGCAGATGAGAACGTGGCTTTTGCCCTGGCAAACATGCTTCGGGAGAACAAGAAGATCGTCACTCTGAACATCGAATCCAACTTCATCACAGGCAAAGGCATCGTGGCTATCATGAGGTGCCTGCAGTTTAACGAGACTCTGAATGAGCTGAGGTTTCACAACCAAAGACACATGTTGGGTCACCATGCTGAGATGGAAATTGCCAGGCTTTTGAAAGCCAACACTACCCTCCTAAAACTGGGCTACCATTTTGAGTTGCCTGGCCCACGGATGGTTGTCACAAACCTGTTGACTCGTAATCTGGATCAACAGAGGAAAAAGAGGTTGGAAGAGCAGAGGAACCAATCGGTAAAAGAACAGGGAGAGATGATGGAGTCCTTGCAGAATCTTCCCCCTGGGCTGCTTGAGATGTTGAGTGACTATATGCCTGGCTTCGCAATGTTCAACAAACATCCAACCCATCCATCATTGTCCTTTGACAATTTCCCAGAAAACAACTCCGAGGCATCCCAAGTGAAACTCCAAAGAACTTCCAAAATGCAAAATAAAGCCAAGGCTGATGAAAATGGGACACACCTAAATGAAAAGGCCAATCTGAAGGACATGATAAAGACATTGAAGCCAGTTCCGAGAGGCCGACAAGCACCTTTGGTTCAAGAGACGCCTCGGGATCAATTGTTGAATGATATTCGTCACAGCAATGTGGCTTACCTAAAATCTGTAAGTGAAATCTTCTTAAACTTCTGGTGTCTCCTCAGGGATGCTTTATAATATAATAGGTCTTTCTCAAACCTTTACACCGTTCACTGGTGGTACCATTCACCCTGTGCAATGTTAGGTTACATTAATCTTCATACATATGAGAAAGCCAGCCAGTTTTCTAATTTCATATAAAAAGCTTAGAGATGTTTGACACTGATGCATTTATGATATCTGAATGCGTTCACTGTCTCCAAATAACTCTTGTATCCATTATTCTCCAGTTAAATTATTATGAATAGAAGTGACACTGTGCCATGTTTATATCACTGGTGTAACTACTTTGCTCTGAACTCTTTCTCTTATAATATTAATGGTATTCTGTGGCTATCTGATGGATCAGCAGGTAAATGCACCATCTAGCATGTTACTGAGCCACACAGACTAGGAGAGTACCAGCTTCAACCTTGATCAGTTCTGATTTAACTCATTTCAACTGAGATGGTGGTCGATGCATTATATTGGCCTCAATACTCTCCAAATTTATTCCTTCTTGACCCTGCTGCCCCACCACCTCCCCCCCCACTACACCCCTGGTGAATGTTAATAGAAAGCAAGTTTGAATTTGGTTTGACTGCCATCCGCCAGCTGAGTTGTTTATCATCATTTACTTGTTGGCCTGACAAAGAGTAACCATTTCGATAAGACTCCGATCCTTCTCTTTCAAGTGTAGGCAATCCCTTCAATCTGTTTTATCTCCAACTGGTACGTACTTCATTGCTGGATAAAAATGTGCCTCATCGAAATGATGAATAGGTGTCAGATGAGTCACTCTTTCCATAAGTAATAATAGTCTTGACTAGACTCCTATCTATCAAAGATATCAAGCTTCTCCATCATAAAATCAGAGGATTGTCTGCTGTTTGAGTGGTTTGATTAGTTAATGAATCATATAGATGACATTGCTGCTCATTTTATGTATATTCCAAATGTCCTGTCATGTTTTATAGAGCAGAGCTGTCAATCATAACTGGCTCATCGCCAATTCTGATTATATTCCTGATTTGACTAAATAGCAAAAGTACATGCTCACAGCCATTGTTTTCTGACTTCTTTAACCAGTTTAATTCACAGTTGTGTGATGACGAAAAGGTAGCAGAAAATTGACCCACTGCTGTAGAGCAGTGATGAGCCTTATTTAACTCTCCAAGTTGTAGATGATTTCCAATGGGCTTGAGCGATGAGGAAAGAGAAACTGAAGTATTGATCATTGCAAAAATAGTTAATGCTGCATTTTTTAAATACTGCAAAAAACCTTCCCCAAATAAATCTCTGTATTTGCATATCTTTATTCACACAGTGCATCAATATGTACCTGGTTTTAGTAAATAACATTGGGATACATTTTACATAGTATATAAATATGTTTAATTATGAATTGTAGTACAATAATATATTATAGGACTGTGATGGTTTCAACTTATAAGTGATGAAAAGGGCATAATTTGCCCAATAAGAGAGCAAGTGTGCAATTCCTTGTAATTTGGTGATTAAGAATATATCTTCTGATAAACACTGACATTCACTTATTCTTGTTATTTTGTGTACAGGTTCAATTGCCAAATATCCTGAATTAGATTTATAATCATCATGAAATGGAATGCTGAGTGACGTCTCAAATATTGGTGTTGTGCAACCAAAGACAGAGTGGCTGAATAATATGTTGACAAGTCCCTACTCTTTGCATATCTCCACGGAAACAATTATGAAAGAACATTTCCAGTGGATTTTTTTTGTATTGAACAACTCCACAAATCACGTACTGAGCGTTAAAAGCCAATTGCATTTGAAAGTTATTTATTCAGCATAGATTTGTACCATTGATTCTGGAAATGTATTATAAAATAAAATGATTAAATGATTAGCTTTGTATTTTCTATTTTGTTGAATGGCTTAACTGCTGTAGCTGTAAACTGTTTGTTTATCAAAAAAACTCCCAGCTCATAAAACAAAGCCCTATGAAACAGCCTTAAGTCCATGTTAATGTATTTTGTTTTAATCTACGTGGAACTGGTAAATCGGTGCCATTTTGGTCAATGCTGCTCAGTGAAGTTGGTAATATTCTTCTAGAATTTAACAATGAACAGTCAAGTGATGTTTCCTGCTAAACTGTTTTGCATATTATACTTCACGGTTACTGTAAAAATCTTCAGTTTTTACAGACAATTTTGCCAGTCTTCCTGCACTGCCGATGTCAAAAGTTAATAAATGTATGCATTCATGCCAGTATGCAATTAAAAAATCAATGAAGATAAAATAAGCTACTTATGTTTTATTAACATGAATGACACAAAATGCTCATTTCACTTGGTGTCAATGTTTGAATGTTGTTCTGGAGCTTAGGAATACTGAAGACCATTCTGATTAAAGTAAGACACTCCTGTGATAGGATAACTGGAACTAAATTAATACGACATTTAAATTGATGACCTCAAGACATCACAATAAAAGTTATTGTATTGTTTCTGAAACTTTCACATCCCAAGGTCTGACTTGAAGATTAGCAATTTAAATAGTTCTGTTTTTGTTCATAGCCAAATGTGGGCTCAATCATGAACTGTACAGAATTTGTGCTAAATCGCAAGGTCTCTTCAGTTAGGTTTCATTGTACATTTTATACAGGTAAATTGTAATGTTGATTAAGCATAACAGAATGTGCCATTCTTCAAACAGAACACAAGAAAGTATTTTAAAGCAACCTTTATTTCATGCAAGGAGACATGTTGTACACCTTTGAACCTCCAAACAATTAAAAATTACATGGTTACTTTAACTGCCTACCATAGAAACAACATTATAGCAGTAGTTCACAGGCTAGAATTATTGGAATTGAGTCTGTTGTTTCATTGAAGCGGTGAAATTTCAATCAATGTTTTTTTAAACTCAGTTTTCAGGAACTCCTCTTGTAATATTTGAGCAAACATTAATATTCTATTAATTAACATTAATAGACTAATTACTATAATTAGCTGCACCTTCTGCCCAATGGTGCTGTTCTCTAAGAGAAGGATGAATAGTTTTATGTTTCATGAGAAATTCATATTTATGTTTTTTATTGAATGTACTTAGCATTTGAAATTTAATACCACAAGACTGAACCTTAGCCTTCTAGATGTCCTTTATACATAAACTAGCTGATAACACAACAAAAATATCTAGTTTTTTTAAAAAATGCGCCTCTTCATAAATCTGACTGAAATCATAACATTATTCTATACATAATGGTACGCAAGATCAGAATTTTCTGCACTTAATGAAACTTGGATGTTAGGTTTGTGATGAAGGATGTAAATTAATCCATCACTGATATAATGCAATACAATGAGTTCTGATATATTCTAATGCTACAGTGCAGTCATGCTCCAAGACCATTGAAATGCACTGTACCTGAACACAAATACAGAAAGCATTATCAAAGCTGCAGGTCCAACCAGAGACCTTTGTCAGTTTCCGGACTGCAGACAATGAATCACATCAAAAACTAACACTCAAGGTAAACTATGCTTATTATCAATTCACATTCTGCTGTATTAACTATTGATTTTTTTAAATACAAGCAAACAATGACAGTTATTATATAAAGCCAAAAAAACAAGAGACACCAGCCAGTATTTTGCCAAGCGATTTCAGTTTTTTCGCAAAGCATTTCAGTTTTCAATCCACTTAAGTTTAAACTACTCATTTGCCCTTTGGAATATTTAACCATGGAAGATCATTAATCCAGTACCAAGCCGCTGATAAAAATAAAATACAGATCATCAGTTCCTGGTTAATCTTTGCTTCGATTTGCCAACAAGTCTGCAATTTTGGCAATGTTTTCCTGTTCTTGGCCAAGCGCATCCACTAAGATACCCATTGGCGTCTTCTTCAGGCCAATCCCTTCCATCTTGTTCTCAAGCTTGTTCTTCAAGTTGCGAAGACGTAGAGAAGAATGTATGAAGATCACTGAAATATTACATGAATTAACATTTTAGGATGTATTCACATGAAAGCAGAATTAAAGTTATTTTAATATAAGAACATAAGTAATGCTGGACGAAAAAAGACCAAGGTCCATCTAGTTCACCTTCCACCTTCCTGGCGGTCGCATGCACATATGTCCCAAACTACCTATGTACTATATCCCATAATGTTATTTCCTAAAAGAAAATAATCTAAACTGTGTTTGGAAGAATCAACACTTCCTGCTTCAACCATCTCCTTAGGGAGCCTGTTCCGCAGGTTCACTATTCGCTCACTGAAATAGTGTTTGCGTAGATTTGTTCTGAATATCCCCCCTTCACTCGCAGGCCGTGTCCTCTGGTTTTACTATTCTGGACAAGTTGAAGCAGCCTGTCATGATCTATATTGTCTTGCCTCTTTAGAATCTTAAAGACAGCAATCAATCTTCTCTTTTCCAGCATGAACATGCTCAATTTACTTAGTCGCTCCTCATAGTCCAGTCCCTCCATTCCCTCAATCATTTTGGTTGCCCTCTTCTGTATCTTCTTGATTTCTCCAATATCCTTTTTGTACTGTGGCAACCAGAACTATACACAGTATTCTATGTATGCTCTCACCAATGATTTTTCTACAGTGGCAGGATTACCCTGCTATTTCAGCTTGCTATGATCTTTTGATACATCCCAATATCTGGTTTGCTTTACTCACTGCCACAGAGCATTATTGGGAGAGCTTCAATGTATTATCAATCAGGACCCCCAGGTGCTTTTCATTTCCCATACATATTATTTTCCTTCCGTTCAAATAATAGTCCCTTCCAGGATTTTTTGACCCTATGTTAAGCACTTTACATTTCTCCACATTGAATCTGCCACTGGTCTGCCCAATTTTCAGGTATGTTCAAATCCTCCTGCAACCTATTTTGTTCAGCTTCGCAATCTACCACCTTCATTAGCTTGGTGTCATCTGCAAACTTAGCCACTGTTCTTGCGACTCCTAGTTCCAGGTCATTTATATTAAATAAAAGAGGTCCCAAAACAGGCCCTTATGGAACTCCACTGGTTACATTTTCCCAGTCTGCTGACATTCCCTGTACCACCACCCTCTGGGTTCTTCTGGTCAACATATTGCGTATCCATCGTACTATGCCTCCACTGATTCCCACTTTCTTTACTTTCAGTGCCAACCTCTCAAGAGGAACTGTATCAAAGCCCTTACTGAAATCCAGATATACAACCTCCACAGCCTTACCCTTGTCAAGCTCCCTTGTCACCCCTCAAAGAAAATCAGTAAATTAGATTAGCAAGACCTTCCCTTCATTAACCCATATTGGCTATCATTTATGATTTTATTTCTGTCCAGATGCTCCATGATTTTATTCTTAATAAGATTTTATTCTTAATAATTTTACCCACAATGAACGTCAAACTTGCTAATCTATAGTTTCCTGGGTCATCTTTGTTACCTTTCTTAAAAATATGAGTAACATCTGCCTTTCTCCAGTCCCCCGCCCCTCTCCAGTAGTTTCAGTAATTTTTGTCATGCATTTTTTTTATATATATCATATATTTATTCACACAAGCAAATTAAACCAGGTAATAGAGCTGCTGGATAATTCTCTGCTAGTTATGGTTTGAAGCTATAGTGGTTTGTGACAAAGTTACACAATCCTCTCAATAAGATCACATGAACATTGATTCATCTTCTAAAAAAAAGTACTTAAAAGTGATTTTGTTTTTGCCAATTTTCTCCCCTATCCTGAAGGAGTTGACTCTGGCTGCGATACAGTATAATGGTACTAGCAGCCCTTTAGTTGCTCGCCCAAGTGACCATTTGCATGAACTGAGGGAGCAAAGTGCAACCTGCTTTTTGATTGCGCAAATCAAGAACAATCTTGTTCACATCAAATGTGCGTATCTTTCAACAGGATGGTGATCTGGAGCAGAACATTTTGGCTGCTAATCTTCCTCTTTACTAATAAGAAGTTTCGAATTACATGAAGACGAGAACAAAAGAGGGACACAGATTTAGAGCTGCAAAGGGGCAATTTCCAGACAGATTAACAACTGGAACAGGGTACCGGGAAGGGTGGTTGAGGTCCAACGTAAAAGATTGATGCTGTGATGGGAGGATAGTCAGGTTAAGTATTAAATGGAACAACAACAACAACTTGGATTTATACAGTGCACTCCACGCTCAGAGCGCTTCACAGTAATGGATCCCGGGACCGAGCCAGGGGGAGGAACGTGACCAAAGGCGTGGTCGAAAGAAAGGTCTTCAGCAGAGACCTGAAAATAGGAAGAGAGGGGGCGAGGTGAAGGGAGTGAGGAAGGGAGTTCCAGAGCCTCGGGGCATAATGGCTGAAGGAACGGCCGCCGAGGGTGGAGCGGAGGACTCGGGGACAAGGAGAAGGCCAGACCCGGAGGAACGAAGGCAAAGGGTACTGTTTTGAGGAGAGAGGAGGTCAGAGAGGTAGGGGGGTGCAGAGGAGTGGGGGGATTTGAAGACAAGGGTGAGGATCTTGACCAAAGGTACTTTTTCATCCAAACTAATCTCACATTCTATTGAGATCATCAGACCATCCTTCACACATAAAAACAAAAATATTCTAGCTGATATCTGTTTGGGGATGAAAAGTATTGATTAACATTTGAGCATCATACATTTGTATGGGAGATAGATTACTTACAAACTAATGGTAAAGCGATTCCAAATAGGAAGACCATCACTCCTCCGAAGAGCGACATGAGAAAGTGACTAACCACCAGGATGATCAAAACAAAAGATGTCGGATACTGACGCTTGAAATTCCCAATAACTGCTTTGTTTTCGGACACCAACAAAGAGCCTGTGAACACCAGCACAACCACTGCCCCTCCTAGGATCATTTGAAGGGGTTGCATAAACCTGTCAGCAGAAATAAAACAATGCTTCAGTATTATTAGAGATGAACAGTTCAACACAAGCAGTGGCAACAGTCACAGTAAAACTCGCACACATCTGATCGGTATAAATCATATAATCACCCACATCGTGCAGCCTAGTCTTGTTCAAGAGTTCATATTCTATGCAAGTTTGACATAACTCATACTTTGCATAAGTCATATTAATTGTATGGTCCCAACTCATACGACTTATGTGAGGTTTACTGTATCATATAACATCCAAAATGTTGCTAGCACATTTAACTGGAGAACATTAGAAATTGCATCAGCTCATTCAAGAGCAAATTAGATAATAATCCTTGTATTTGATATAGCGGCTTATCACATCGTCGAGAAGTATCAATGTGCTTCACAGGATATACTGTAAAGTTTCCTTGTATATTAAATCCATCTGCCTGCCTTATTAGATTGTCACTGTATCGCTCTGTGAGTAAACCACCGAAGAGATCACATTCTAAGGCTGTAGTACCCAGTTATGGCGCTTTGCAGACCAATAGTGCACTTGAGTCACAAATGATGCACAGCACCCCACTGTGGAAACATCAGGTACAACAATAATGTGCTTTTTTCTTTGATAAGGGTCCTCACGTAGTTTAAATTCTGATTAAAGCGGATGGAAAACAGGTGAAAGTACACTGAGAAAATAAAAGTAATTCTCCTTCCAACTTGTCTGGTACTTCTGTTATAAACGAGAGTTTAGATTTTTGATGAAAGGTGCTAATTTCTGGTAAGGGATCAAACAGTTTCAGTGTCAGCACTCCTACAGCACAGGTTGAACTGGGAGCAATTATTGTTTGGCTCCCATTTGCCACTTTTAACACAGCACCAATCAGGAAAAAGCTTGAAATTCAGAGGCACCAAAAAAATTAAACACTGCATGCATTAACGGCACATCAATTTTACTAATTTTCTGGCAGGAAGCTCCCTTTGCACAACTTAAACTACAGAAGTACACCCCCTTCTGAGTTTCCATTTCCTGCAGTAGCTATACTTGTATCTTCAAACGATTCACATCCTACAGGAAATGGGGCAAGAACCCAGCTTAAGCAACTAACATGCACTTGACAAACCCTGTAAACTTCAGTCAACTTTCCACATCAATTCTGCTTTTCCTCATGTTCCTCTCCTACCCCTGTGTGTGTGTGTAGGTGGGCAAAAATATTCCAGCAACCATTTAGTGATAAACAGTCATCAGGTTAAAAACAATTACAATTTGTTGAGAACAATGAATGTTCAAACCTGCCACAAAAAATCCAATAAGGCAATTTTTAATTACAGTAACTAAATATTTCCAAAGCTAACAGTTATCTTTTCATAAAACGTAGGTACAGTGGAACAATACGAGCCATACAAGTGTTAATAATAACATTCCTTCCTTCGCCTAAATCCCAGTTGGAACCATTTAGTTGAAGCAGACTGCATCACAGTCAGCAGTCCAAGCGCCATTCCTCTGCAGTGAACTCATAATCCATCCTCTAATGTCAGACTCATTGGAAAGTTTGAGTTTGCCTGTGTATATGCCCAGATTTCTGTGGCCTTGCATCAATTATAGTCGTTGCCCATTTATATTTAGAAGGACAGCTCTCAGTTTCCAGGCTAGAAGTGTTACACAATTCATGCATAGTCAGAGAGAGAAAACAAAACCAATGAAGAAATTTAAGTTATAATATGTGATCAACATTGCTCCAAACACTGAATCAAGAACCATGTGAAGTAAGATAAGAAACGTGAGAAACAGTCACAGGACAGGGCAAATGGTATACTTTAATTCGTCTTGGATGATGAAAGGAAACAGATTCTATTTAACACAATTCCAAACTCTAGTCTCTAAGAGGATAAATATTGTCCTTGTTTCCTCCCCCACCTCTCTCATTAAATATCTCAGTGCAGTACAACAGTCTCAGCAGAGCAGAACTGGGAGTTGGTGCAAAAAATGTTCCAATGGCTATAGCAGCTCTCACTGTACTAGCTTAATGGTACGGGTAAATGGTATATCTATAATGCGAGGGAGGAATACATGGTACATTCTGGCTATTGCGCGGCTTCCAGCGGGTTTCATGCTCTGGGATGGGGTGCTATACAAATGAAAATTATTGTTGTTTCAAACCAAACCTAGGGACAGAGAATGGACTGAAAAACAAGATAAATTAAAGTATACCAGTACTTTAATCAGCTCTCCATTTCAGAGTAGATCAAGCTCTGTAGTTATTAATAGATGCAATGTTCCACTTTCAATTCATTCAGCAATAACAATTGTCCTTGGACTTGATATAGTACTTTATCACATTGTCAAAATGTCCCAAAGTCCTTCACACAATTTTTTTTACTATGTAAAGTGTAATGACTGTATTTTTGTAGACAAACATGGCAGTAAAATCACACAAAGAGTAATAAGTAGAACCCGGTTGTAGTTGATTGGCGGTTCGCTTTTGCGGGGGTAATAATCTCTTTAAAAAATAATCATAATTTGGTCACGACTACTGTGTGCAATTGGCTACCACATTTCTCCCACAAAAATATAGTCAATTCACTTTACAGTATATTCTGTGAAGCGCTTTGAGACGTCTTGAAGACGCGATAAGGCGCTATATCAAATGCAAGGGTTATTTTATTATTAAAAAGTCATGAAGTGACTGATCAATTTGTGTAATTAGGAAACCTCATTCCATCTAGAGATGGATTCTGTTGGACAGCTGATCCGAAGATATCGAATGCAGGGATTATTATTATCAAATGGAAAGAGCGGGTGTACAAGCAATGGTATGGAGGCATCTGTAAGCATGATCACATTGGAGGGGAAAGCGATTTGGTGAAGACGCTGAAAGTCACAAATCCTTTCCCAAGCTTGGTTGGCAAATTAGACACTGCAATAATTACTTTGAAATTGGTTCCCTCAAATTTGAACAGAATATTCATCAATGCAAAGCAGGACTGCTAACAATCTGCACCTCTGAGCAACCATTTCATTAAAGACCTGAAGTAGTATATAACAAAAACAGAAGTCGCTGGGAACACTCTTAGGTCAGGCAGCATCTATGGAGAAAGGAAAGTGAGTCAACATTTCGGGTCCATGACCCTTCATCAGAACTGGGGCATGTTGAGAGGAAGAGGTTTTAAAGGGCTAACAGAGAGGTGGGGAGGAAGAGCAAGGAAGACAAAGGAGAAAATGGGGTAGAGGACAGGGGATGATGGGTTAACGAGGTGTTAATGATGCAAAACAAAGTGGGGGGGATTGCAACAAAATAGTCAGACCAGAGAGAGGAAAGGTGTGTCTGGGACCCAGATGATGTCGTAATGGTCACAGAAGAGGCGAAGGGGGAAAGTTAGCTGTTATGGTCTGAACAGTAAGAATGAGGCTCTCCTCGGTATTGTACATCCAAATCTTCAATCCTGTATTTGATTTCGCATCCTATCAACAACAACTTGCATTTATAGCAGCCCTCACACAGGGTAGGGTCCCAGAGAGCTTATCGCTCGATCGAGACATCTCAAAGAGCTTCACAGACTTTACCATGTAGTGTAGTGACTGTATTTGTAACTTTCTTCAGTTGAAAGTCAACAAGACCGAGGCCCTCCTGATTGGCGCCACACCTCAGGCACTGACAGGATCACTATCCAAGGATGCACACTCCATCTTACTAAGCAGTCCGGATCCTTGGCATCTTGTTTGACCCTCAACTATCCCTTCTACCCCACATCTGCGCCATGACCTGCTCTGCCTGCCCCCACCTCTGCAACATCGTCCAGCTCTGCCACTGTCTTGCCGAAACCCTCATACACACATTCATAACATCAAGCGACTATGCAAACTCCTTGCTTGTCGGCCTCCCCAACTCCTCCCTCCATAGGGTGCAGATCATCCGGAACTCTGTAGCCCGTGTCCTCTCCTGCACCAGGCTCCGTGACCCTATCACCCCCATCCTCCCCCGGCTCTATTGGCTTCCCATCACACAGAGGATACAGTTCAAGATCCTGGTCCTCACCTTCAAAGCCCTCCATGGCTTTGCTCCAGTACCTCCCCACTATCTCTGCGACATCCTAACCCCCTACCATCCTGCCCGCTCCCTCCGCTCAGCAAGCTCCGGCCTGCTTCACCTTCCCCTGCCTCGCCCACCCCACCATTGGGGGGCGAGCCTTCAGCCACTCTACCCCCACCCTCTGGAACTCCATCCTGCAGTTGCTCCACCTCACCCCCTCCCTTGCCTCCTTTAAGACCCATCTCAAGATCCTCCTCTTCGACCATCCCTTTGATCACCCTCCTTTCATTATGACGCACCCAATACTTGTGTAAAACATGGTTTCATTTTACACAGAACCAGGCTTTAACCTTTGACAGGAGCCAGCACTATGAAAGTTAAAGGTCACGCAGGATGTACTCCAATATTAGAGTCACAAATATATTCTGGCAGCAGCAAAATGGAAGAAAACTTGCAGATGAAGCTACAGAAGGATTTCACTTCTTTACAACATTTTCTGTAAAAAAAACAACTAAAATGAAAGAGTGAGGAGTTGAAAAAAATAAATTAATAACCATTGTATTTGGTATGACGCCAATAATGTTCAGAATATCTCAAGGTGCTTCACCATGTTTCTGCAACATGAAGTGACAACAACAACATCTTGCATTTATATAGCACCTTTTATGCCAAGTTGCATCCTGGAGCGCTTAAATCCAGAGCGTCCCGGATTGCATGCAATGTGTAAAAGGTATAAAGACAAGACTTGGACCTGTGATGAGTATCAGTCATTTTCGCCCACAAATATACAGTCAATTCACTTTACAGTGTGTTCTGTGAAGCGCTTTGGGACGTCCTCCCGACGTGAAAAGCGCTGTATCAAATGCAAGGATTATTATTTATCCTACCAGTCCCTCCCCCCACCCTTTCTGGTCAAATAATCTAGTGACGATATCAGCTAAAATTCACAGATGACGAATCGACAAAGGAACTAAACTGATACTTGTGGAACCATACACCAGCAGGGCTGGGGAATATAGCAGATTATTGATCGATTAGCTCAGCCCAAATGATGACTAATTCTCCGGTTTACCCAAGCTAAAAAAAAAACTGTGCTGGATTAATACAGCACTTTTCCTATATATTTCCAGACAGAACACCTCAGCAGATTTTTTTTAAAAAAATTACAAAAGGTTATGGAAAAAGACAGCTGAACCCCACACTGATAACATACAGAGAGAGATATTGGCTTGGAGACGCAAGTTAAATATTCCCCAACCCACCCTCACACAGTGTGATTCAGGGCATCATCTCAATGCCATGCAGAACCATCGAGGGGAAACCGGCAAAAACTTAAGACTGCTTCTGGGTCTGGGTGTGTGTGAGGGGGGGAAGGTCACAAACCTTGAAGGAGATGAACATTATTTGTAAAGTAGGATGGCAATAGCAGTCCCATCAGCAGTTGATTCATCTGCTGGTTAATGAAGCCTATTTCACATTGACACTGGAGAGTTTACTGGAGAAAGAGTTACAGGATAACTAACTGACAATTCCTCAGTGTCACAAGATAGCATGAATAAGCATGGCGTGTAATTACACAATGATCAGTGTTTACTTTGGTATTAAGAGGTATAAACATTGATACACTGTGACTGCACACTTTAACATTGTAACTGGTTTATTCAAGTCAAGCTTAAAAAAATCTTTGCAGGAATAATACAGCATTTTTCCTGTATTCAGTGTGACCAAAAAGTCTTATTTTTCAGCTACCCTGTTATCTAAAAACAAATCATTTCTTTAAGCCTCATTAGATGTTACAATACACAATACAAAATTACATTTGTAAAGCGCTGTTCCTATCTGGAGGACGTCCCGAGGGGCTGAACAGTCAGGGATTAAGACCCGAGTGTGTGTGGTGGGTGGGCAGGTCCTCTTTTTGGTCACCCTGTAGTTCCAGGCAAAGCATTTGAGCAGTTTTCACATTTTTTTAAGGAAACGTAATGCAATAAAACCAGCTAAGCCCCAAGTGACTCTGGTAGTGTAGTGGTTAGTGCACTCGCCTCGCAAATCGGAGGCCCTGGTTTTGATTGCTGTTCGAGGCAAAACATGAGGCAAGTTTCCTTACTCCACACGCCTCTGTTTACCGAGCAGTGAGTAGGAACCCAGTTGTCAGTCCGGGGATAATAATCTCTCCAAAAAAAATCCATGACTGTTTGTCGTACACTGCTGTGTGCAATTGGCTGTCACATTTCTCCCCACAAAATTCCCAGTCATTACGCTTTACAACATATCCTGTGAAGTGCTTTGAGATGCCTCCAATGCCAGGATGATTATTAGTAATTATTATAATTATTATTATAATTATTATAACATACAGACAGTGGGGGTAGGAGACTATAAATAGTTAAAGCAGCCCCCCCCCTCCAACACACACACACACACACCCCTCTCTTTATTTGTATGTGTTAGTTATAGCGACTGGACACTGCATTCATACATTGCTGTAATACAATAAAGCACAAGAAAAGGCTGAGGTCTCTCCGCCTGGTGTGTTGGTGTTGGTGTGGTGTGTGCTGGTGTGTGTTGGGGTGTTGGTGTGTGTTGGGGTGTTGGTGTGTGTTGGGGTGTGGTGTGTGTTGGGGTGTGTTGGGGTGTTGTGTGTTGGGGTGTTGTGTGTTGGGGTGTGTTGGGGTGTTGGTGTGTGTTGGGGTGTGGTGTGTGTTGGTGTGTGGTGTGTGTTGGTGTGTGTTGGTGTTTGTTGGGGTGTGGTGTGTGTGTGCGTTGGTGTTGGTGTGTTGTGTGTTGGTGTGTGTTGGGGTGTTGGTGTGTGTTGGGGTGTGGTGTGTGTTGGTGTGTGTTGGGGTGTTGGTGTGTGTTGGGGTGTGTTGGGGTGTTGGTGTGTGTTGGGGTGTGGTGTGTGTTGGTGTGTGTTGGGGTGTTGGTGTGTGTTGGGGTGTGGTGTGTGTTGGTGTGTGTTGGTGTTTGTTGGGGTGTGGTGTGTTGGTGTGTGTTGGTGTTGGTGTGTTGTGTGTTGGTGTGTGGTGGTGTGTGTTGTGTGTTGGTGTGTTGTGTGTTGGTTGTTGTGTTGGTGTGTGTTGGTGTGTTGTGTGTTGTTGTGTTGTGTGTTGGTGTGTGTTGGTGTGTTGTGTGTTGTTGTGTTGGTGTGTTGGTGTGTGTTGGTGTGTTGGTGTTTGTTGTGTGTTGTGGTGTTGGTTGTTGTGTGTTGGTGTGTTGTGTGTTGGTGTGTTGTGTGTTGGTGTGTGGTGTGTTGGTGTGTGTTGGTGTGTTGTGTGTTGGTGTGTTGTGTGTTGGTGTGTGGTGTGTTGGTGTGTGTTGGTGTGTTGGTGTTTGTTGTGTGTTGTGGTGTTGTGTGTTGTGGTGTTGGTTTGTGCGCAAATACAAAGGCGCAGCGTTATACAATCCGCGCAAAGATTATCTTGTGTGGCTTTTTTTCGTGCGAAAGGCCCTGAAACACACACACACACACACACAGAGACACAGAGACACACACAGACACACACACACAGAGACACACACAGACACACACACACACAGAGACACACAGACACACAGACACACACACACACACACACACAGAGACACACACAGACACACACACACACAGAGACACACACAGACACACAGACACAGACACACACACAGAGACACACACACACACAGACACACAGAGACACACACACACACAGAGACACACACACACAGACACACACACAGACACACACACACACACAGAGACACACACAGACACACAGAGACACAGACACAGAGACACACACACAGAGACACACACACAAACACAGAGACCCCTTCCCTTACCCGACCAATAAGAGGACGGTGACGGCTGTGACCAAGTAGTTGCTTTGGTAGTACAGTAAATTGCTGACCACTCGGTTGTTCCATTTGGCCAAATCGTTAAAATCCGGACGGGCGAAGCGAGCGGAACCCGAGAGGAAGTCATCCCACGGTCTGAGGGGCGCGAACTGCACCTCCATATCAACAGCAATAACCCGCGGGGGAGAGGGGGGGAGAGAGAGAGAGAGAGAGAGGAGAGAGAGGGGGAGAGAGGGGAGAGAGAGAGAGGGAGAGGGGGAGAGAGGGAGAGGGAGAGAGAGAGAGAGGAGAGAGAGAGAGAGAGAGGAGAGAACCAGAGAAACACCGCTCCGCTGAACCACCGGATGTGCCAATATTTTAAGAAAGCGTCAAACTGCTCCGCCCCCGGAACCCACCCCCTGTGGTCCTGATGTGGTGGGAGGGACTGTGTCGGTCTCTCTCTGCCCCGCGGCACAGTCACTCACTGCCTCAAACATCCCCGCGTGTGTGAGTGAGTGTCTGTGAGTGTCTGAGTGTGAGTGTCTGTGAGTGTGAGTGTCTGTGAGTGTGAGTGTCTGTGAGTGTGTGAGTGTGTGTCTGTGAGTGTGTGTCTGAGTGTGAGTGCCTGTCTGTGTGTCTGAGTGTGTCTGTGTGTCTGAGTGTGTCTGAGTGTGTGTCTGTGTCTGTCTATGTGTCTGAGTGTGTGTCTGTCTGAGTGTGTCTTTCTGTGTGTGTCTGTGAGTGAGTGTGTGTCTGTGAGTGAGTGTGTGTCTGTCTTCGTGTGTGTGTGTGTGTGTGTGTATGTGTGTGTGTGTGTGTCTGTGAGTGAGTGTGTGTCTGTCTTTCTGTGTGTGTCTGTGAGTGTGTCTTCGTGTGTGTGTGTCTGTCTGTGTGTGTGTGTGTGTGTCTGTGAGTGCTGTATGTGTGTGTGTGTGTGTGTGTCTATGGTAAGACAGTGAAACCAGACCAGGTCCATGTCAATTCACAACAGGATCAGCACCCCGCGCTGGTACAGCGCCCTTTACCCGTCCAGGACAATGGCTCCCGAGCCTTTCGAGGTTAATTAGGATAATGCCAATGATAATAATGAGCGCCTTTGCATTTGGTGCGTCGCCTCATCGCGTGGTCGAGACGTCTCAACCGAGCGTCGCAGAATATACTGCAAAGCGAATGGACTTTTGTGGGCGAAGCACAGCAGCCGTTTGCGCCCGGCGGTGTCTCACAGTCTGATAGTTAGAAAAAATAATCATATAAAGCAAATCATCTGTGCAACAATCTTCCATTGTCAATTGGTAGTTCACTTATTATCATTTGTGGTCTGTGTGGAGATCAGCTTGCCGCATTTTCTTACCAATACACGGTGCTTTGTGATAGCATGTGCGAGCCTGTTTGCAATATTTGCAAATATCAGATCCACACTCACATCAGGATAGAGATTGCAAACAGTTTTGCAAACAATAGTGCACTCGGTAATGAGGGAGAGAGAATTGCAGGAGGCGGAAAAAAGGAAAATGGGTGAACGCAACTGCCCCACTTTTCTATTAAACAAAATGAAAAGCTCATTCTCGCTTGGCTGGAATTTACTAATTTTGTTTGGCAGTACATCACAATCCACTTTCTGATTTATGTACCCTCACTGTATGTATGTATACCTTATGTACATCAGTATTACCATTCTCCAGCACATTTTGCTTGTGGGATGAGTTCCACCCGCAGTGTTTCATTTATCTATTTAAAGACGATGTTTATTTGCAAAGAACCTGACGCAATATTTCTAAATGTTTGCCCTTTTGCCAAATGATCTTCTTCCCTCAGATCCACACTCACATCAGGATAGATATTGCAATACAGTTTTTTTTCAATTCTGTCTTGTTCTCTCTTTCAAAACAATATACAGTATTAGTTATTTTATAGATCATGTATTATTAGGCTATACATTATTTTATTGATAGTGCATGATTAGTCTGTAGATGTTACATGATTATCAGCCTTATGGATGATATATTGATTATTTTATAGCTGATATATGATTATCAATTGATAGATAATCCATAATCTCCCCCCGCCCCCCAACCGCCTGATCGGGTCCAAATCCCTAACTGTGCAGCGTCTTAGTCCATAATTATTATTATAGATGGTGTGTATATTATTATAGATGGTGTGTATGTTATTATTATTTATATATGGTGTGTAGCATTTCATCCACAAATGTACAGTCAATTCACTTTACAGTATATTCTGTGAAGTGCTTTGAAACGTCTAGAAGACCTGAAAAGTGCTATATCAAATTCAAGGATTATTATTATATTATTATTACAGATGGTGTGTATATTATTATTATTGATGTATATATTATTATTATACATGGTATATATAATATTATACATGGTGTATATACTATTATTATATATGGTATATTATTATTGATGGTATGTGTATTATTATAGATGATCTATATTATTATTATAAAGTATATATTATTAGAGATGTTGTGGCTGTATATTGTTATTATAGATTGTGTATATTATATTTTTTAGAGATAGTGTATGTATTATTATTGTACATGATGTGTATATCATTATTAGAGATGGTATATATTATTATTATACATGGTGTACATTATTATACATGGTGTGTATATTATTAGAGATGGTGTATATGTTATTATTATAGATGGTGTATATATATTATTAGAGATGGTGTGTATATATATTATTAGAGATGTATATATTATTATTAGAGATGTATATATTATTGATGTTGTATATATTATGAGAGATGGTGTATATATCATTAGAGATGTTGTATATATTATTATAGATTATTATAGACATCTATAATAACAATATATACACCATCTATTATTATAGATGGTGTATATATTGTTGTTATAGATGATGTATATTATTATTAAAGATGGTGTATATATTATTAGAGATGGTGTTTATATTATTAGAGATGGTGTATATATTATTAGAGATGGTGTCGTGTAGTCCTTTAGTTCAGTGGTTAGAGCACTCGCTTTGCAAGTGAGAGACCTGAGTTCAATTCCAGGCAGAGGGCGAAACCTTGGGCAAGTTTCCTTACTCCACACAGAGCCTAATAATAATCCCTCTAAAACCAAAACAATAATAAATTGGTCATTTTCAATCTACGACTGTTTGTGGGACATTGCTGTGCGCAATTGGCTGCCGCGTTCGCCCACAAATATACAGTCAATTCACTTTACAGTGTGTGTTCGTGAAGCGCTTTGGGACATCCTCCAGACGTGAAAAGCGCTATATCAAATGCAAGGATTATTATTATTATATATTATTATTGGAGACGGTGTATATATTATTAGTGATGGTGTATATATATTATATATTATTGATGATGACGATGCTGTGGCTGTAGCACTGTGTGTGTGTGGTGACGTATGAGTGCTGGTGACGTATGAGTGCTGGGGGCGTGTCGCTGTGCGGTGCGGGGCTGTGATTGGTTGGCGGGCTGGCGGGCTGGCGCAGGGGGTTGTGGGTAGTGATGGGAGGGGGAAGCTATGGCGGATGTGGAGGCGCCGTGAGTATTGTGCGGCGGCTCCCGCTTCGCCTCGATTTTCTCTCCTCGTCGCGCGCTTTCTCTCTGTCTCTCTCTCCCTGTTGCTCCGCTCTCCCCCCCCACCCCCCCCACCCCCCCCTCTGCCTCGGGTCAGGACGTCTGAACCTTCTTTTATTCTCTCCTTTTAGGGAGAAGAAAAGAAGGAAAGTAGAAGAGCACTCTGACAAGTTAGTGTTGGCATTTCAAATGTTAGCGGCGGGGCTTCAGGCCTGGGCGCCCGGCCCTGGGGAAACCAGTGCGTGTGAGGGAGGGCGGGGGTGAGGGAGAGAAGGGGTGAGGGAGTGTGTCTGAGGGAGGGAGGGTGTGTCTGAGGGAGGGAGTGTGTGTCTGAGGGAGGGACTGTGTGTCTGAGGGAGGGAGTGTGTGTCTGAGGGAGGGAGGGACTGTGTGTGAGGGAGGGAGTGTGAGGGAAGGAGTGTGTGAGGGAGGGAGTGTGTGTCTGAGGGAGGGAGGGACTGTGTGTGATGGAGGGAGGGAGGGTGTGAGGGTGGGAGTGTGTGTGAAGGAGGGTGTGAGGGAGGGAGTGTGTGTCTGAGGGAGGGAGGGACTGTGTGTGATGGAGGGAGGGAGGGTGTGAGGGTGGGAGTGTGTGTGAGGGAGGGAGTGTGTGATGGAGGGAGGGACTGTGTGTGATGGAGGGAGGGAGAGTGTGAGTGTAGGAGGGTGTGAGTGTGTGAGGGAGGGAAGGAAGGTAGGAAGGTGACTATTTTTTAAATATATAAACCCAATCTGGACTCTCCCTCTCACACACACTCACATGTAAATGAGAGTATTACAAAAATGAACTCCCCACATTTGCTGATGTTGGTAACACTGGCGCTTGTTAATGGATGGATTAATGGCTGCATTTCTGTATCTGATGATCGCTAGACAACATCTCCAGTGAAAGGGGTATTTGTCTGTATGTGTGTGTATGTGTGTGTGTATGAGGAAGGAAGGAAGGGTCACCGTATGCGAGGAAACATACAGCAGAAACCGCTTTAGCCGGACAAAACGGCTGGCCCTGACGTGTCTGTCTTAAGCGGCTCCCATTCCCATATATAAATATTAAAACTGGCGACAATTACTAATGCCGGCAGCACTAGAGGGAGTTTAAGGGATTCATGGCTGTATTTCTGTATCTGATGATCACTTAGACAACATCTCCATTATTATTGTTGGGTGCAACTTCCATGATGGTAGAGTGTGAACTAGGTGAACCTTACTTAGTTATTTTTGTCTAGCAGTTCCTAAGATAAGCGTATCTGTTTCAGAATTTTACTGCCCTCGTTCAGTTTGTTGCTGAACTCACGACAGGGCAAATTAAATTTGGCCGGCGGATGGTCACCCTAGTACTGTAGGGAGGCTCCGGTCAGCCTGCCGCCTTCAGGGATCGACCTGCATCCTTCAAAAAAAATACGGTCGGACTCGTGGCTTTTAATATCATATTTTTAATCATATTTAATAATATAATCCTTGCATTTGGTATAGTGCCTTAGGGATTCACATTAAGGAGCACAGCCCAAAGTGTTGGGAGACCTATGGCTTAGACTGTGTGAGTTCCAATCCCCACATGAGACTTGAACCCACACGACAACAAAATTACATTTGTATAGCGCCTTTCACGTCAGGAGGACGTCCCAAGATGCTGGACAATCAGTGTTTCGGACAGGAGCTGTTGGTTGCGATCGTGGAGGGCATGTGGGGAAGGAGGATTCAATCTTCTGACTCGGAGGCCAGAGTGCTACTACTGAGCCGGGCTTTGGAAGAATCTTTGGCTAGAAATCACAAAACCCCACTACAGCAACTGAAAGTGAACTTATTTTTCTGGAGCTTGCTTTTTTTAAAACAAAAACACACTCCTTTTTTGTTAATATAAGTAGGTTTCTCAACTTTTTGGGGTTTGTTCTCTGATTTAGCTGGAAAATTGTATGAAGCAAGCTGTCTGTCTGGATAAGCTGCACTCATTGCACCGAATTTGGTTTGAGACTGAAACTGGACTGAGGAAGTAAATCCAGTGCAATGTTTTTGGACATCCGTGACAGTAGAACATTAGGACACAGGTTTAGGGTTCCAAAGGACAATTTCCGGATAGACGATAGGGTGCATTTGGCTGAGGCCAGCACATTGGACTCATTTAAAAAACTAAAAACATTTAATTCTGTGACGGGAGGATAATCGATGATTGGAAGAATGAGATCAAAAGGCCGCCTTCATCCAAAGAAATCTTGTGAATATCAGACCCCAGATCCCTAGATTCCTTGCAATAATTGTGCGTCAGGTGTTATTTTGGCTTTACTTCAACTTGTGATCATTGGGATTGATTGGTTCATAAAAATAGCTTCCAGCAGGCAGCAAAATGTTTCTTTGTTTGTACACATCCTTATTCTTATAATAATACTATTCCTTGTGTTTGATACAAGCGTCTTATCACATTGTCACAACATCTCAAAGCGCTTCACAGAATTTACTGTAAGGCAACAAATTTTCACACAAAAATGTCCCAAACCATTAAGTGAATGACAGATTTTATCTGGGGGATTGTTGGACATTGGGAGAAGCTCCCTTTTCTTTTGAATAGTACCACTATTTTGCTTACACGTTAGTTTAAATACGCATTTCTCTTTCCTAGATAAGCTCAATTAAGTTATGTATTTTTTATCCATCACCCATAAGAAGTCCCTTTGCATCTCAGTATACCTTGTACTACTCTCCCAAAATGAAAGAAGCAGATCTGCTTCTGGACTTCCATTAACAATATTCCATAACTGGCTCCTGGTAGATTTGTTTGATACAACCAGTCTGGAGTTTCTTCAGCTATGGGAGACCCAGTTTAAAATTCTGAACTGGTCAATCGAAAATACTTAAACTATGTATTTACTTCATAAATGTTTCAAATATTATTTGTGTTGTGAAAACTGATTTTCCAGTTGAGATTACTGTGTTCTGTGCAGAATGTCTGTTGATGGTGGGTATGGAGACACTGGAGACTGGGAAGGTCGCTGGAGCCACGTGAAGACGTTTCTGGAACGTTCAGGACCATTCACACACCCTGATTTTGAACCGAGCACTGAAGTGAGAACCATTCAGTTTTGTACCAAAAATGTTAGCTCTGGAACATCGTTTTGAATGCAGCCGCTGCAGTTTGTTCTTGCTGTAGTGTAATCTAATGTGAAATTACCAATGCCAGATACCAGTGAAATCTGCAGTAGCTGGATAGATAGATAGTTAGATATGTTTCAGAATTGCATCCCTAAACATGGTCTGATGTGATGAAGTTGTACTTTGACTCGGGCAAAGTGTGATCAATGTGTGCTCATTTTGTTTCCTGCCTAAGGGTCTACTTTGACATCTATAAAACCAAAGATGTCAGCCCAAGTCGTACACTCTAATGTTACTCCTTATGATTTGTCAGAGTAGGATCAGAGAAAGATTTATCTGTTTGTTGAAAGATAATCTGTACAAAGAGTGACTAATCAATCCAATGTAGTATTTTTCAGGATGTAGATGTTCTATTTGTGGCATTTTGGTATTTGAAATTTTGTATTATATAAAAGTTAAGGCAGTAGAATTTTAATTTCGGTTGTAATTGTTTTACGTCTGTGTCAACCACTAAACTGCAGTTTCTTTCTTCAGTTACTCCAATTTCTACTGGAGACCTGTAAAGTTCTGATTATTGGAGCAGGTGGTTTGGGATGTGAACTCCTTAAAGATCTGGTAATGTTATTTTATTTCTATTTTATTGCTAAATATGGCTGCTGTTTCAAACAAGTTTTGTACGCAGATGAAAATAGTGACACCAATTCATTAAGCTTTTACCTCTTTTACCACAGGCTTTAACAGGCTTCAGGCAAATTGATATCATTGATATGGATACAATAGATGTTTCTAATCTGAATAGGCAATTTTTATTTAGGTAAGTGATTTGTAAGGTTACATTGCAAACTACTACTGTAACCTTTTGGCAGTGGATTTTCAGTTTGCAAGTCATGGTTGCAAATACAGTGCAGTTTTGCTATAATGCACTTCAGTATATCAGAGGTTCGGACATTGTGGGCTAACGTGGTGGACTTATGTTGCATAAAGTATTCTCTTTGGTGAGAGGGGCTCCAAGACATCAATGGTGACTCTGCAAGTGAGCTCAAGATACCACGTGCCAACCCCCGGCACCCATTTAGAATGTGGATCCAACTATAAAACCTGCATTCAAGGTTCAGTAAAGCTGATGCAATTGCATGGTTTGGGACTTCATGGAATAAACCCCAATTTTTCTGCTTCCTCTGACATATTTCAATGTTATGTTACTTTTACAGCTCTGGTTGTTCGGTGCTTTTCATAAGTTAACATTTAGTATTTGAAGTTAGCATCTAGCGAGCTTGAATATTCAACAACACCAATTATGTATAGCGTCCTTCACATCGGAAGTACGTCCCAAATCGTACACTCTAAATTCAATCCACCATTTGAAAGGCAGTGTACTTTGATTGGAAATTGAAAATCTTCAAATTTATTTCAAAATAATTCCTTTAACCTGGGTTTGCTTTATAAAAAAAAATGTTCATTCAGAGTGAATGCCTAAAATGATCCAATTTGTGGATATTCAGTGATTTAAGTTCTTATTAAGCATTTTATTTCTTCACAGATCAAAAGATGTAGGAAGGCCAAAAGCAGAAGTAGCTGCAGACTTCATCAATAGTCGAATTCCGGGCTGCAATGTAGTTCCGTATCCTTTTTTTGTCTTGGCACTAAATATGACCAAAATAAACCTGAAATTAGAAATAGTCTTAGCAAAAGAATCAATTCTGAAGTCCTATTTCTCTGAAGTGGTGTTCGCAAGAGAGAAGATACGCAGGAAAACCCCAAGGTCGTCAATGTCAAGTGTATCAGGAAAGCTTTCTTTCCAACTCAAGCTGGCTGGAGAGAATTCTGTAGATCTAATAGTCTATCTGCTCACAGCAGAAGGAAGACTGTATGATAGCGGAAGATTGCTGAAGTAGGAAAGAATTATAAAACATCAAAGTTAAAACTTCCTAAAGCTGACGCTAACTGCCTCAAAACAGTCCTTAACATAATATTCAGACATTTCAAAAAGATCCAAGATTTCAGTGATACCTTCTACAGGCGTAAGTTTAAAAACTGGTTTCTGAACACAGCAATTGGCTTTATGTGGGAGGGGTTGGTCTTAGAATTTGCCGATGAAGCTACAACCCATTTACTGCTCTATAATATCTGACCATTTGGTATACTGTTCTTGTCACCATCTCAAAGTGTTTCATAGTTGAGTCCAGTAGCACAAGCGAGAGACCTGGGTTCGATTCCCGGCAGGGTGAAACCTTGGGCAAGTTTCCTTACTCCACACGCCTGATGATAATCCCTGAAGAAAAAATAATAATAAATTGGTCACTTCAATCCATGACTGTTTGTAGGACACTACTGTGCACAATTGGCTGCCGTATTTTGCCCACAAATATACTATCCATTCACTTTACACTATATTCTGTGAAGCGCTTTGAGATGTTTAGAAGACATAAAAAACGCTATATCAAAATGAAAGGGTTATAAACTTTCTGTAAAATGCAGTAATTATATTTTGTGGGCAAATGCAGCAGCCAAATTGCAAACAATAGCGTCCCACAAACAACCATGAAAAGAATGACAAATTTTATCTGGAGGATTATTGGCCAGCATGTCGGGAGAAACTCCCTTTTCGAAAATTGCTGTGGGATCGGGCAGCATCTCTGACTAGGCAGCAGCATCCCCCAGTACTGCATTGGAATGTCAGGTTAGATTATGAGCCCAAAGTCTCAATAGGGTTGAACCGGCAACCTTCTCGTTCTGAGGCGAGTGCTGCCAACTGAGCCAGGCTGGTATCTTATAGTTTAAAAATCAGGGCTTTGTGCTAAGTTAGCTGATTTTAACTGAGATCAGCTGATTTGGTGTTTGAAGAGCCTCAGTGTAGTTGAAATAAGGAAGTGAAAATCAGCCAGCTTCTTGATCGCTATGCAGCGTCCTCCGCTGGAAAATTGATATCTATAGATATTAGTAAAGCTAACTCAGTTACAATCTGAATTTTCTTTCTCTTCCTCAACACTCGGTATTTAGGCTTACACAGGAAATATAGTCCCATGGGTGAGGTACTGGAAATCAACTCAAAAGAATGGATGTTTATCTTGATCTGTATCTCAATAGATGTATTGTGTTACTGAACTATGCCTTTGTTTCAGAATTTCACATAGTTGTCTGTGGATTGGATTCTATCATTGCACGAAGATGGATTAATGGAATGCTGGTATGGAGCAGCAGATCTGTTTTAACAATTGTAATAGTAACAGTTGTAAAGTAGTTCTCACGTGATGGGATTCTCAAAACAGCGTAGGCCACAAGTGTGAAGCTGGAGCAGTTTAAAAAGTGATCTGAACTGATGAGATGTAAAAGCTGCTACAGGGTGACCAAAAAGTCGTGATAACTACCCCTTTATCTAAAAAAAAATCAGAATTTCTTTTAAGACTTATTAAACAATGAAATGGTATAGCGACTTTTTGGTCACTCTGTGCTATTCTTTGTAGCAATCGCTGAAAAATACAGAAAAAATTAAAAATACAATAACAATTGTAGGAAAGTGAAATGTATATTTAAACTAACGTGTAAACAAAATAGTCTTAGTCTTCTACACAGGATTATTTAGTAAAGTCTTTTTCACTAGCTCTTCCTATACTTCCACGTCTGTATGTTTAGTTAAAGAACTCAGGATTTTTACATCTAATTTGTTGTCTTTAGATATCCCTTTTGAATTTTGAGGAGTCAACACTTGACCCAAGTTCCATTATCCCGCTGATTGATGGTGGGACAGAAGGGTTTAAGGGCAATTCCCGTGTTATCCTGCCTGGAATGACGGCATGTATAGAGTGTACCCTGGAACTCTACCCTCCCCAGGTAACATCTGGTTCATGGTTTTAATACCTTGCTAAACCAATCCGGAACTTTGGGGTCTTGTTTGACTCTCAACTATCCTTTCTACCCCACATCTGCGCCATGACCCGCTCTGCCTTCCCCCGCCTCCGCAACATCTCCCGGCTCCGCCACTGTCTCACACGCAGGCGGCCGAAAACTTCATACGTGTTTCTCATTACATCGTGGCTCGACTATGCGAGCTCCCCAACTCCTCCCTCCATAGGCTGCAGATCATCCAGAACTCTGCAGCCCATGTCCTCTCCCGCACCAGGCTCCACGACCCTATCACCCCCATCCTCGCCCGACTCCATTGGCTTCCCATCACACAGTGGATACAGTTCAATATCCTGGTCCTCACCTTCAAAGCCCTCCACGGTCTTGCTCGCCCACCTCTGCAACCTCCTAACCCCCTACCATCCTGTTCGCTCCCTCCACTCAGCGGTCCCCAGCTTGCTTCATGTCCCCCGCCTCGTCGCCCCACTATTGGCGAGTGGTCCTTCCGCCACTCTGCCCCCACCCTCTGGAACTCCATCCCGCAATACCTCCGCCACGCCCCCTCCCTTGCCACCTTCAAGACCCATCTCAAGATTCTCTTCGTCCGTGCTTTCGATCTCTCTGCTTCCCCCCACTGCCCTCCACCCTCTCCGACCCTCAGCTTGGATCCGTAACTCTGTCTGTCCAGCGCCTTGGGACGTCCTCCTGGCTTGAAAGGCGCTATACAAATGAAATTTTGTTGTTGTTGTTAGTAATTTTACTCAGGTCAAGACCTGAGACTTGAACAGGTAGAAATGGTGAGTTTATTGTATAGAAAACTGCACCTGTTGCTTTTGCTTACATTAGGTACTTCTAGAAATGTTTAATAACTCCCCAAAATTGATTCTTGCGGTTTTAAAACTATTTTAATTTTTTTGCAAACTACCTAAAAAGAAATACAAACAACCCCTCACTTCAAAATATACAATATACAAAATATACAATCAATTCACTTTACAGTATATTCTGTGAAGCACTATATCAAATGCAAGGATTATTATTTATTATTACCCTCTTCGGTTTGGTATTTCTTCCAGATTAACTTTCCTATGTGTACAATTGCATCTATGCCCAGGCTTCCTGAACACTGTATTGAATATGCCAGGATATTGCAGTGGCCCAAAGAAAATCCATTTGGTGGTAAGTTTTTAACCTTAGTTTAAAAGAAAATGCAAGTCTTCTTGAAATCATTATCAAGTGCATTCAATAGATAATTGGTTTCATTCATGAATTACTATAAATATTTCAAAATATTAATATAAACTCAAAAGTATAGTTTTGTTAGAGATAGATAACTCAGACTTTAAACTTAGACCAGAGTGGTGAAACTTAATGTTTAATGGAAGATGAAAATGTTATCAGTAAATAATAGAGGTTCATGTTCTGATCCGAGTAATAGGAGGCAGGAAATGTCTTAACAGACTTTTATCATTGAACATATATTTATTATACATATATTGATGATAATCCCTCCAAAACAAAATAATAATAAATTGGTTATTTTCAATCCACGACTGTTTGTGGGACGCTGCTGTTTCTCCCACAAATATACGGTTAATACACTTTACAGCATATTCTGTGAAGCGCTTTGAGATGTTGAGAAGACGTGAAAAGCGCTATATCAAATGCAAAGATTATTATTATTGTTTATTATTATAACATGAGCATTCCCTTAGGATTGCTAGAATCTGATTTTATACGGTATTTGAACAGCTTTTGTACCAAACGGACATATTTTTATTTTCCTAGAGGGCATTGCGCTGGACGGAGATGATCCAGAGCATATTCAGTGGGTTTTTCAGAAATCGCTTGAAAGAGCAGCTCAGTTCAACATTACTGGTATCACATATAGACTGACACAAGGTGAGTCCTATAAATTAATGACTTGGGCATTTACCATTTCTTTAAAATCACAGTGTGTAAACGTGTCTTTTAATGAAACTTTACCTTCTGTTCTTCTTTTGCAGGTGTTGTAAAGAGAATTATTCCCGCAGTAGCGTCTACCAATGCAGTGATTGCAGGTACATAGTGTATTTAAGCCAATCAGATACTGGTGATGTACCTTTTTCTGTTTTCGTTGAATTGCGGGATGTGAGGTGACAAATTAAAAGATTGATTAACTCTGATTTCACAGTTAATATTGCTGAAGTGCAAGTACACTCTTGTCAGTTATAATATAAGCAAAATTACACGTTTTGGACCATTCTGGAGTCTGCGGAACAGCCTTTGTGATATCAGGAGCAACCAACAGGGGGCGACATTTATAGTTGCAGTGGAACCTCCAAGACACAAACTCACCGACAATCAATTGCATTGTATGTGGGGATATGATGTAGTATTGTCTAACTTTACCGCCTTTCACCGCTTTGATTTAATAATGTACACACCATATGTACAGCAAATTGAAATATCCATAATGGTTACAATAAAATGGACTTTTGGAAAATAGCAAATCCTCAAGTTAGCTTTCATGCACGAGAGTTTGTAGTTTTATGGTTCTACTACATGATATCTTTGCTGAGATAAATTGGAGGAAGGATATTACTGAATTATTTACGCACTTTGAGATGTTACCCACGTGAAGCGTGCTATATAAATGCAAATAATAATAATAATAATCCTTGCATTTGATATAGCGCTTTTCACGTCGGGAGGACGTCCCAAAGCGCTTCACAGAATACACTGTAAAGTGAATTGACTGTATATTTGTGGGCAAACGCGGCAGCCAATTGCGCACAGCAATGTCCCACAAACAGTCGTAGATTGAAAATGACCAATTTATTATTGTTTTTGGTTTTGGAGGGTTTATTATTAGGCTCTGTGTGGAGTAAGGAAACTTGCCCAAGGTTTCGCTCTCTGCCTGGAATGTTCACAATTTTGTGGCCATTTCGCCCACAACATACACACAGTCCATTCACTTTACAGTATACCCTGTGAAGCGCTTTGAAATTTCTCGAAGACGTGATAAGGCGATATATCAAATGCAAGGATTATATTATAAATTTGTTGTTGATATTGAATGATTTTCTGCTATAGCTGCTGGTTTTGTATTAGTTTCTTTGATTGAGTGTTGACTGCATCAATAACTAATCTTGGGAAACAAATTCTGTTTACTTCCTTAGCAACATGTGCCACTGAAGTGTTCAAAATTGCTTCAAGGTAAAATTTTCATTTTTATTTCAAGCACTTGATGGTTTTGCTTCTGCTTTCATTGTCTTCAGAAGGGGAATTGTTTTCATTAAACATGGTATTTTTCTTTATACAGTGCGTACATTCCTCTGAATAACTACTTGGTGTTCAATGACGTTGATGGATTATACACTTATACGTTTGAGGCAGAGCGCAAGGTAAAATCATTCTTAAAAGCTATTACATATATTTTAATTCTATGCTAAATTGTTTCCACTTGTTTTCCTCTTCTGTGGTAAAGAAATTATATGTTTTATGTTAACTGCAGCAAATAAAAACTGTGCACCTGTTTATCATTTTTTCAAAATATCTCCATTCTATTTAATTGCCGTGAAAGCACCTGGAAAAAGCCTAAATATTGCAGCATCCTATTAAGATTTGTATTTTTGTTTGAAGGAAAACTGCCCTGCTTGCAGCCAAGTCCCTCAAGAACTACAGTTTTCACCCTCTGCTAAACTTCAGGAGATTATTGATTACTTGACGCAAAGTGCTTCACTGTAAGTCTCACTTAAATCATTGCTTGATGCTATTGCAGATTCCTGGAATATTTTAAAATGTATGAAAATTTAAAATATTCTGTCGTGAGACTTAAGCATGTCGGTTTACTCTATCAAGATTCAGGGTAGGATTTCTTCCATTGAGGTCATTTCTGATCTCTTGCTCAATAAAGTGAAAATAAACTGCACAAAATGTATTATTAATAGCAAATGGTGGACTGATAAATGTTTTAACTTCTTCCCTGTTCCTTTACAATGTAAATTTTCCACTTGTCTTCCTCATTGTGCCTTGTAGATATCACTACTTATTCGGTAGTGTATTAACTTTTGGCAGTGCGTCTTATTTGTTTGAATTTGTGTTTTAATATAGAAATTGGTCTGTGTCCTATTTAGGCAGATGAAATCCCCAGCTATCACTGCAACTTTGGATGGAAAAAACAAAACACTTTATTTACAGGTAGAAATTGCTTCTTTTACTCCTCTGCAAACTTCCAGTGATTTTTTTTTAACGGAAAGTAAACTTCCTATGAAAACACTGGAAGCTAATTTCAGGTATGTTTTACAGACTGTTGCATCAATTGAAGAAAGAACAAGACCAAATCTTTCAAAAACCCTGAAAGGTGAGTTAGTAAGGTGCTCGAGTTTGCACGGTTGGCCCTAACATTTTAAGAAGCTATATTTTATCTGTTAAACATCCCTAAGCAGATACAACACTGGAACATTGAAAATTAGGAGCAGTAAAAGATCATTTATCTCTTTGAGTCTGCTCTGTTAGGGACTGTTCTATGGCTCACATACTGCAAACTCCTCGTCCCACCTTCCTGCCATATTTATTCTGCAAGTATCTTCTTCTCTTTTCAATCCCTTAATTGGATTCTCATCCATGGCTTTCTGTAGCAGTGACTTCCAGATTCCCTTTGATCTTCCAGATAATAGGACATCAATGTATGACGATCAGCTTGATGTCTGAGTAGCAGAGTGATACTGAGGCATATAGACCAAGAATATTGAGTACTTTTATTAACCTGATCTGACGGTTGCATTGCTACATTTTGGCTGTGCCCCTGCAAATTGTGGAGAAAGTGGGGAAATTTTCAAAAAAAGTCACAATCAGTCCATAATTCAGATTGTACTCTAGGAATAAAGTCCTTGGAACAGATAATTTAAAAGCACTAGAGATCTGTAAAAACTAAATATCTGCACGTGAGTGAATGTATTAATTTCCTTGATGTTAATGTGTTCTTGAAATCTTATTTTTCAGAGCTGGGACTTGCAAATGGACAGGAACTGGCAGTGGCTGATATCACAACGCCCCAGACTGTGCTTTTCAAACTCCAATTCACTTCTTGACAGATCTACATACATTTTTAATAGTTAAACCATATAAGAAGTTGAAGTAGGCAAAAACAATCTGTTTATCGTCAATTTACTGACTTTTTTAAATACGCTTAGGTTATTTTGAGGGATTCTCCCCAGCTTCTGTCTCAATGCCATCGGCATGCTAGGCTGTGGTTCCACAGGAGCAGATGTCCTGTGAGAGCCTAGACATTGAGTGTGTTGGCAGTCTGTCTGTTTATCCACACAAAAGCACTTTTAAGCAGCAGTCACGAGAAAGCAATTGGAAATTGGCTAAATTTGTTGGCTTCCCTAAGCCAATTGTAGCATGCTATCTGCTGCCCCAGCCAAGATCAGCCAACTGCACACAGATCAGAACTGAAGCCTACAACCTTGTGATCTGTATGACTTGGTGTTTCACCAGTGACAGTCCATTTACCCACTCAGTCATGGGCAGAGAACAACCCATTTATCTTTTAACTGACTTGTATTTGAAGTTGGATATATTTACTGGTGGCACATGACACCTCAAATGGTTGAAGATCTACTATGTGCAGTATATTGTTTCAAATGATTTGTCAACTGAATCACCCAATGGTATTAGAAAGGAACTTGCATATAGAACGCGGTGGCACTTGGCATGCAAGTCAGAGTACTTTTTGTTACTTATTTTGTGCACTGTAACCTAGTGAAAATTGTGAGATTGTAAAGTTTGTTTACAGTACAAAAGCAATTGATTGTTTCATACACTGTACAGACTTTATTTTGCTGAATGAAAATTCAGTTGGACTTTTTTTCCCCCCCGATGGAAGAATTTCACATCCTGTGTATTTAATAACATTGAAGGTTTTATGTATTTATTGACGTGGAATATTAGCTCCAGCAAATATCTGACATAGTAAAGCTCACACTGTAGACTTTAACACTTTTAAAAAAAAGGGCATTTGGCAAGTGTTAAACACTCACCTGTATTTCACAGCAGAAAATCATATGACCATTTTTTAAAAAGCTGTCCAATGTTAAACCTTGTTTTGGTAAACATCTTTGCTGTGATGTGTTGTGGAAATTCAAAAGCTGATAAAGCAGAGAATGTTAATTCTACTAAATTTCTAACCTGTTTTTGTTTTAAACATTTCCCAAAACAACAATAAATAAGTGTGCAATAAATGAAAAATATTCAGTTTAGGTGCTCCAATTCTAATGCAGCCTTGAAAGTTTAACATTTAAAAAGTGGAAATCTGGATTGAACTCTAGATCAAGTATTTCCAACTCATTTTACACTTTGCAAATTGTAGAGAGCAAACCGAGGGAGCGAAGAGGTTGAAAATAAGCAGAGAGAGAGCAATTGAATTTGAAAACTTGTGGAAGGAAATGGAAATGAAAATTATACTCCAAATGTATATTCTGGGGAGCACCACTTGTGACAGGAGGGCTCTAAGTACAAATCATAGTGATTTGAAATCCTCTGAGGGGAAGAAAGGAAGGGATAAATTACCAGGATATCCCTGCGATTGAACTGACTCCTGGTAAAGATGGGCATGTACAATAAATAAGGCATTGTTGATGGTTGACTTGTAAGTGTAGATATGTTCTAAACGGCTCAAGCTGGAGAAGTACTGTGACGCCCCCAGTGTAGTATGTTTTATTAGTCAGCTAGCTGCACAGTTACAATCTTTTTATGGGTGATGGGGGCGGGGAGATAAAGTACTCTGTATGCTTGTGATAATGTTGGACAGCTCTTTATAAAATGTGCCAATCTTGGTTATTTTTTGTAGATCTGCAAAAGTGCTGCAGTATTCTTACGTTCTGACCAGGGACATGCAGAGTTTTGTGTGATGGGAGTTTTGACTGAAGCATTATTAACATTAAAATGAAAGTCAAAGCAACAATGATGGGAAATATTTTCTTCAGTTTTTATTTTGATTTCAGAGCAAGTTGTGTTTCAGTAGCTGACGTTAGTGTTTGAGATGCTTCTGAAAATCAGAATGATTGATGTATGATGGATATTATAGGGGTGCAATGAAGGTGGGATTTCCTACTACCAAAAACAACAAATTGCATTTATATAACACATTTACGTCAGGATGTCCCGAGGTGCTGAACAATTAAGGGTTAACTGCAATGATGATAATTTGCCAATCATCCTTCCATTCGATATAGCTACTTATCATGTTGTCGAGTCATCTTAAAAGAGATTCATAAGATTTTGCAGCTCAGCATCAAATCACACCCCTGTTTAGCACTCCCAAGACTATTCATCCAAAGGGGGCTATATAAATGCAAGTTGTCGTGAAAAGCAACAACCAATTTGCGCAGAGCAACGTCCCACACACAGCCACAACAAAATTACATTTGTGAAGCGCCCTTCATGTCAGGAGGACGTCCCAGTTATGAAATTAAAAAATACTTTTATTTGGACAGTTTGTTGGCCAGGACAAACTTCTCTTTCGAGTAGTGCTATGGGATGTTTAAGGCGCACCTCAATAGCCAGACAGGAAGAACCTTGGTTTAATGTCTCATCCAAAAGATGGCAAGTCTGACAATGGAGCATTGCCCCAACAATGCAATGAAATGTCAGGGTGGACAGTCCAAAGTCTTGACGTGAAGCTTGAACAATCTTCTGATTCAAAGGCAAAAGCACTAGTAACTGAGGTATGCTGGCACCTTGCGTGAAGAAAGAGCTAAGACATTTTTATCTGTGGTCTTATTAGATCTCTGTAGAAGTCCTGAAGCTCAGTGTTCAGAGCACCCCCTCACGAGGGAGAGACCTGGGTTTGGTTCCTGGCAGTGCCAAACGTTGGGCAAGTTTCCTTGGTCCACCCGCCTCTGTTTACTGAGCAGTAAGTAGAAACCTGGTTGTAAGTTGATCAGTGGATCGCTTTTCTGGGGGTAGTAGTTCCTTCAAAAAAAATTGGTCTCTCAATCCATAACGGTTACTCCCATTTACTATTACTGTATTTTCCGTGAAGTACTTTGAGACATCTCGAAGGCGCTATAATCATATGCAATGATTATTATCTCAGTGTTAATTAGCACTGGAATTAACTCTCCAAGAATACAGGAAGGAACCGAACCCTTCGGTAATTGACGTAAGAGACGGAATTTTAAGCTGTGAAGTAACCCACTGGTCAACCAATCACTGCAAAAAATACACGGAATAAAATCGAAGCTACAACAACAACAACAAGACTGCAATGATAGAGCGCCTTTCACGTCGGGAGGACGTCCCAAAGCACTGGACAGTTGGGTCAGGACCGGGGCAGAGGGGGAAATGGTCAGGGGGGAGGGGAGATGGTGAGGGGGGAGTGAGTGAGGAGATGGTCAGGGGAGGGGGAGGGGGGGGAGATGGTGAGGGGGGGAGGGAGCGAGGAGATGGTCGAGGGGAGGGAGGGAGGAGGGGGGGAGATGGTGAGGGGGGAGGGAGCGAGGAGATGGTCAGGAGGGGGAGGGGGAGGGGGGAGGGGGAGATGGTGAGGGGGGGAGGGAGCGAGGAGATGGTCGAGGGGAGGGAGGGAGGAGGGGGGAGATGGTGAGGGGGGGAGGAGATGGGAGGGGAGGAGGGGGGAGATGGTGAGGGGGGGAGTGAGCGAGGAGATGGTCAGGGGGAGGGGAGGGAGGGAGGAGAGCTGAAGGCGCGGTCAAAGAGAAAGGCCTTGAAGGAAGGAAGGAAGGATGGAACTGAACGGCATCAAACGGCCCCGAACAGCCGAAAGGGAAGCGTCAACATCTCTCATTTCCTTTGTGTAAAGTCAGTCTCCGCGGAGACCGTCAAAAATTGCCAACGGCGACTATGTTTCAAGTCGCCATGAGCGGGGTATTGGTAAAAGTTTTCAATAAGCAATAATCACGCCTCGGTTAGACCTCATCGGCTACGATACTGCCACTGCGCAAAGCTGCCCACGGCCTCCCGACCCGCCGGCTTATCCCACCGCCCTCCTCCTCTCACTTACCATCAGCCGCTGGCAATGTCCGGCTGCGATTCCGCACTTTTGCGTTACGTTTCGGGGACTTTTCGGCGACTTTTAAAAAAAAAAGAAACGGAGGAGAATCGGAGAGCAAAGCGTTCAAAAACCACCGCTTCTGTTTAAACCGCTGTGCCGCGTATGCAAATGAGCTGATGGCGTCACACGGGACATGGCGGGAAGCGAGTCTCTGGACCAGGTTCAGGTGCAGTTGGTTTGGAAACTCTGCACAAACTTCTTTCAAATAATATTCTTCAAAACATTGCCCCCCCTCTCCTCCCCTCATAAGTGCTGACTTGCTGGAGTGCAGTGCTTGTTCGGTGCTCACAGCAGCAGCGAAGTCTATTCCAGAGTCTGTTCCAGGAATTAATGATAATAATAATAATCCTTGCATTTGATATAGCGCTTTTCACGTCTTCTCGACGTCCCAAAGCGCTTCACAGAATACACTGTAAAGTGAATTGACTGTATATTTGTGGGCGAACGCGGCAGCCAATTGCGCACAGCAATGTCCCACAAACAGTCGTAGATTGAAAATGACCAATTTATTATTGTGTTTTGTTTTGGAGGGATTATTATTAGGCTCTGTGTGGAGTAAGGAAACTTGCCCAAGGTTTCGCCCTCTGCCTGGAATTGAACTCAGGTCTCTCACTTGCAAAGCGAGTGCTCTAACCACTGAGCTACAGGACTCCACACTTCCATTTCTACTTGTTTCAGTGAGTGCAATATTTCTTTCTTTTTGTTCTTTGCATTCGTTATTGGAGACTGTCCCAAAATGGCCAGTGACCGCTGTATTTCAAGGCTAAACAGCTGAGGTATTAGGAAAAGTTTTTTTTTTCGAAATAAGCCATAATCACGTTTTTCTCCCAAATACAAATATCATTTGCAACACTTTACAATCAGCATTTGGATAGTGTGGCTTTCGAGTTCAGGGGTGGGATGGGGGGTGTGGGGGGATTCCTCTACAGAGCTGGAAATGTGCACAGTTCAAATGGGAAGATAAGAAAATATCTTCAAGAAAGATATCAATCTGACTTTGAACGGAAATGACCTTTATTGATATATAAGGAAAACTACATACGCATTGGACAGTTAGTTGTTCAAAGATTTTTATTCTGCTTCTACACTCGGAAGCAACAGCGCTGAGTTGTAGGTTCATTGTCATTTGCCTATAAAATAACCATTATTCCGTAAATAGTGAATCGTTTTTTCAAACGCATTGGCGCATATCAGCAAAGAGCAGCAAAGGGTTGAGTATAGTCATTGGGGGATGATGTGACAATCACAGTGGAATAAACCACTCGAGCACAATCATATGCCCTCACATTGCTGCAGTGATACATGCTTGTTTCTTGCAGTTTGTTTTTATTAAAACAAACAAAACAGACACCTGCCGATCTGACATCGAGTCCTGGACGAGAGACAACTTTCTTCAGCTCAATGTGCGCAAAACCGAGGCCCTCCTGATTGGCTCACGTCAGCGCCTCCGCACCTCAGGCGCTGACACCATCAGCTCCGCACTCTCCACCTCTCAAAGCCATCAGGAACCTCGGGGTTCTGTCCGACCCTGAGCTGTCCTTTCTCCTTCATATCCGCACCACAACTGGCACCGTCTTCCATCACCTCCGGAATATCATCAGACTACGGCACTACCTCACCCCTCACGCGGCTGAAACTCTGGTCCACGCCTTTATCACCTCAAGGCTGGACTATGGGAACTCTCTCCTCGCCGGCCTTCCCGGCCCTCCCTCCACACTGCAGGTCATTCAGAACTCTGCAGCTCATGTACTGTCCCGCACCAGACACCGCGACCACATCACTCCCACCCTCGCTCGCCTCCACTGGCTCCCCATCCCCCAGAGGATCGAATTCAAGATCCTCATCCTCACCTACAAGGCCATTCACGGCCTCGCTCCCTCCTACCTCTCCGACCTACTATCCCCCTACTTACCTGCCCGTACCCTCCGTTCCTCTGGCTCCGGTCTGCTCCACATCCCCCGGCCCCAACCGCCCTACCATCGGTGGCCGGGCCTTCAGCCTCTCAGCCCCGAGGCTCTGGAACTCTATCCCCAGTGCCTTCGCCGCCTCCTCCCTTTCCTCCTTCAAGGCCGGTCTCAAGACCTTTCTCTTTGACCGTGCCTTCAGCTCCCCTCTCGACTTTCTACCCCCTCCATGCTCCCTCCCTTCCCTTCCCTCCCCCTGACCATTTCCCCCCTCCCTCCCTCCCTCCTCTCACCCTCACCATTTCCCCCCTCCTCGCTCCCTCCCTCCCTCCCCTCACCCTCACCATTTCCCCCCAATGCTCGGGTCCTGACCCAACTGTACAGCGCCTTGGGACGTCCTCCCGATGTGAAAGGCGCTCTATAAATGAAATCTTGTTGTTGTTGTTGTTGTTAATGGCCCCTGTTGTGAAATTATGTTCAAAGATCAAAACAAAAACCTGTATCAGAAGAGTGGAATTTACAGAATTGGTCTCAAAGCTGTGAAAAGTACAGGTATGGTGAAACAACAACAACAACAAGATTCCATTTATATAAAGCGCCTTTCACGTCAGGAGGACGTCCCAAGGCGCTGCACAGTTGGGTCAGGACCCGAGCAGGGGGGAATGGTCAGGGTGAGGGAAGGGAGGGAGCGAGGAGGGGGAAGAGAGTCGAGAGGGGAGCTGAAGGCACGGTCAAAGAGAAAGGTTTTGAGACCGGCCTTGAAGGAGGAAAGGGAGGAGGCGGCGAAGGCACTGGGGGATGGAGTTCCAGAGCCTGGGGGCTGAGAGGCTGAAGGCCCGACCACCGATGGTAGGGCGGTTGGGGCGGGGGACGTGGAGCAGACCGGAGCCAGAGGAACGGAGGGTACGGGCAGGTAGGTAGGGGGATAGTAGGTCGGAGAGGTAGGAGGGAGCAAGGCCGTGAATGGCCTTGTAGGTGAGGATGAGGATCTTGAAATCAATCCTCTGGGGGATGGGGAGCCAGTGGAGGCGAGCGAGGGTGGGAGTGATGTGGTCCCGAAGCCTGGTGCGGGACAGTACACGAGCTGCAGAGTTCTGAATGACCTGCAGCTTGTGGAGGGAGGTGGCGGGAAGGCCGGCGAGGAGAGAGTTCCCATAGTCCAGCCTTGAGGTGACAAAGGCGTGAACCAGGGTTTCAGCAGCGTGAGGGGTGAGGTAATGCCGTAGTCTGGCGATGTTCCGGAGGTGATGGAAGGCGGTGCCAGTTGTGGTGCGGATGTGAGGGAGAAAGGACAGCTCAGGGTCGAACAAAACCCCGAGGTTCCTGACTGGCTTTGAGAGGTGGAGAGTGCAGCCTTGGATGCTGATGGTGTCAGCGCCTGAGGTGCGGAGGCGCTGACGTGAGCCAATCAGGAGGGCCTCGGTTTTTCGCACGTTGAGCTGAAGAAAGTTGTCTCTCGTCCAGGACTCGATGTCGGACAGGCAGGCTGTCAGGACATCGGTGGTCGTGGAGTTGAGAGTAGAGGAGGAAAGGTAGAGTTGGGTGTCATCCGCATACATGTGGAAGTTAACTCCATGTCTGCGGATGATGTCACCGAGGGGGAGCATATAGAGGGTGAAGAGGAGGGGACCGAGGACAGAGCCCTGAGGGACACCACATGAGACAGTGCGGGGGGTGGAGGAGAAGCCATTCGTCGAGACGAAGTGAAGACGGTGAGAAAGGTACGACCTAAACCATTCAAGGACAGTGCCTTGAAGGTTGAGGTGGGAGGACAAGCGGTGGAGTAGGATAGTGTGGTCGACCGTATCGAATGCTGCCGATAGGTCGAGGAGGACGAGGAGACAGAGGGAGCCCTGGTCACAGATGGTCAGGATATCATTGGTGACCTTGACCAGGGCAGTTTCTGTGCTATGAGCAGCACGGAAACCTGACTGAAGGGGTTCGAAAAGAGAATGGGTGGAAAGGAAAGAGCGCAGTTGGGAGGCGACAACTCTTTCCAAGACCTTGGAGAGAAAGGGGAGGTTGGAGATGGGCCGGTAACTTGATAGCTGCGACGCATCAAGGGAGGGTTTTTTCAGGGTGGGCGTGATGATGGCAGTTTTTAATGGAATGGGGACAGAGCCAGAGGAGAGGGACAGGTTGATGATGTCAGTGATATGTGGGGCAAGAAAGTGGAGCTGGGAGATAAGGAGTGGAGTGGGGATGGGGTCAAGGGAGCAGGTGGTTGGTTTTAGGGATAGGATGAGTTCAGTGACAGAGGGTGGGGAAACGGGTACGAAGGTGTGTAGGGGAGGATGGGTAGGAGTCGGAGTGTGGGAGGGAAGGGGTGGGTGGTGGGTGGAAGTTGGAGGGGAAGTGACCGCGGAGCGGATTCCCTTGATCTTGGATTCAGGTGGGTGGTGTACCAGGGGGAGGAGCGGGAGTAGGAGACAGTGCGGGAAGTGATGGGGGCAAGAGTATCGAGTGTGGAGGAGAGGGTATTGTGGAGGAGGGAGAGAGGAGAAGAGGGGTCGGTGAGGGTTGAAGGCCAGAGGGAGAGGAGTTCAGAGGACTCCAAGGCATCGGTTAGGGATTGTGGGGGTAACTTCTTCCAAGGGCGGTAGAAGATGGTGGTGGGTCTGGTGGAGGTGGGGAGGGGGTGAGGTGGTGAAGGAGATGAAGTGGTGGTCAGAGATGGCCTTGTCGGTAATAGTGACATCCGAGACACTGAGGCCCCGGGTGATCACCAAATCGAGTGGGTGGCCGTGACTGTGAGTGGGGGAGTTTATGTGTAAGGAGAGGTTGAGTGAGGAGAGCAGGGAAGAGAAGTCTGTGGAGATGGAGCAGGAGGGTGTGAAGTGTAGGTTAAAGTCGCCCAGGATGATGAGGCGATCGGAGCAGAGGCAAAGAGATGTGAGGAGTGTTGAAATGTCAGAGATGAAGGTGGGAGAGGTTTTAGGGGGCCGGTAGAGGAGGAGGATTTTAAGGGAGAGGAATGAGGGGTGGGAGAG